GGTGGGGGTGGCAGACCCACCGGGAATCACGAGTGTACTCTACTCGCCGAGATCTCCCCGAAGTGACGCGGCGAGCGGCGATGGGAGGCCGATACACTGCTGGGAGACAAACGCGCGCCTATCACCAACTCGGGGCGGGGCGGGGCGGTTCAGGGGGTTGGGTTTGGCCGGGGCGCGGGGCAGAGGCGGGTCAAGTCAAAGGGTTGGGTTTGGGCGGGGCGCACCGGGGCTGGGCGCCGAGCTGGGCACCTCCGCAGGCCTCGGGGCCTCGGGGCCTCGGGGCCTCGGGGCCTCGGGTTGCTCCTCTGGGCCGTGCCTCGTCATCAGAGGCCGGGGTGGAGCCAGGTGTTACTCGATGAGCCGCGGCCCGACGGGGGCGGCGGAGGGAGGGAGGGAGAGGCGGGGGTGATCCCTTTCAAGGCAATTGAGTGGTCCCCCGGGACGGGGCAGGGCCGCCGCGGGGTAGGGGGGCAAGAGGGGGAGGCAAGGAGAGGGCCAAGACAGAAGACAGACGCGCTGGCGCCTGCGGCCAGGGGTTTGCACAGGGTGGGGCGGTGTGGGGCCGGCCGCCAAAGCCCGCCGGGGCGAAGGCGCCGCCGCCGCGGGGGTGATGTGGAAGCAGGTGATTGGGGTTTGGAGGAGCCCGGCCCTGTCAGCTGAGCGAGGCACGTTGTCGTTAGAGATATCGCTTCGAAAGAGAAAAGTTCAGGTGGAATACGCATAGGAAATGGCGCGCTGGAAGCGTGGCAACTTAGGTGTTTACTTTACGATTTTATTCATACGCGGAAATTTTTTTTGTATGCGCGGGTCGCGGTGGTGCGGATATATTTCAGAGCGGCGCCAGGTTGAGTGGTACTCGGGGGAAGGTGAATGCGCGGCATAAAACTCCATCCTCCTCCCTTCCGTCTGCCCCGTCCCGCCCCACCAGGCCCCACCACGCCACCACTCTGCGGTGCAGCAGGTGGCTCGCCTGCGCTGCTCCTTCACACGTTATTTGCTCGGCGCGCATTGCTTTGCCGCCTCGTCGACTTTATCGAGTCGAGGTGAAGCGGGGGCGCGGCGGGGACGAGCTGTGAGCTCCAGCAGCACACCCGACGGGGGCGCGCCCCGCCACGCCCCGCCACGCCCCGCCCGCTGCGTTCTCATACTGCTGCGAGGGGGAAATACCGTGACGGCGGCATAAAATAGGGCGCCAGTTTATGACAGAGGCGACCCTCTCCCCCCACCCCCACCCTCTCTGCACACCTCCTCTGATAGTGGCGGGCGGGCGCGCGTGTGTCTGTCTGCCTCTGTGTGCGCGAGTACGGCGGCGGCACAGTTCCCCAAATTAATTTGTGTCTCGCTCTCTCTCCCCGCCTTGCCACAGGAGCCCCCC